GGATTTTAGTCCTTTTAATCACATACCAGTGCTATGACCTTGGGCAAGTTCCTTGACCTCTCTGAGCCTGTTTCTTCTATTAAAAAAAAAAAAAAAAAAAGAATGAGTCCGGGGTGTGGTAGCTCATACCTATAATCCTAGCACTCTGGCAGGCTGAAGCAGGTGGATTCTTTGAGCTCAGGAGTTTGAGAACAGCCTGAACAAGAAGGAGACCCTGTCTCTAAAAACTAGCCAGGCGCTGTGGCAGGCACCTGTAGTACCAGCTACTTGGTGGCTAAGGCAAGAGGATTGCTTGAGCTCAGGACTTTGAGGTTGCTGTGAGCTATGACACTATGGCACACTACCAAGGGTGACAAAGTAAGACTCTGTCTCAAAGGAAAAAAAACTAAACTAAAATAAAGAAGGTATGAGATGACAAGGGAACAATAGCTGCTTGTTTAAGGTGACCAGATGTCCCGCTTTTGGCGGGACAGTTCCAATTTTTAATAATTTATCCTGCATCCCTTGGCATTTTTTAAAAGTCCTGATTTTTTTGTTTGTTTGTTTGTTTGTTTTCAGACAGAGTCTCAACCTATCCCCCTGGGTAGAGTGCTATAGCATCACAGCTCACAGCAACCTCCAACTCCCGGGCTCAAGTGAATCTCCTGCCTCAGCCTCCCAAGTAGCTGGGAGCACAGGTGACTGCCACAATGCTCGACTATTTTTTGGTTGCAGCCCTCATTGTTGTTTTTGGCAAGCCCGGGCTGGATTCAAACCTGCCACCTTAAGTGTATGTGGCTGGTGCCTTAGCCACTTGAGCCACAGGTGCCAAGCCAAAAGTCCCAATTTTTGGAAAGAATGCAGGACAAGCTAGGGAAGGGCAGGAGAACGGGAAGGGAATATACAGCTGCTGAAAAGGTTAATGTAACTTCATTTGGAAATGAAAAGGGTAATGTAAACTCCCTAACTGCCCTCCTGGGCAAGGTCGCCCAGGTGGAATGGGTATCAGAAGGAGACTGGCTCCCTCCCTCCCTTCTAGGCAAGGACAATTAGCTCAGAAGGAGCCAAACTGTCTGGGACAAGTAGGCCCCCAGAGGGTCCCTAACCATAAGTAGCTCAGCCAATAGCAGCCGGCCCGACAAAACACCCAATGAAATTCCTCTATGCTCTTTAAAAACCTCAGCTCACTTCACTAGGGGATTGCCCTTCCTCCAGCCACGCTGACGGGAAGAATGGCCCAGGCATATGCTTGTAAAATAAGCACTTTTTGTCTTTACATGTGTGTGGTGGTCTCTCAGTGGCAATTCTGGTTCCAACACTGCCATGTGGCTATTTCGCCAGGATATGAGTTTTATATTATTTTTGTTAATTTTATAATGTTAAACTTTAATAATAACAAATAATTGTTGAGAACTGATTATGGAGAAATGCTTATCAAAGTTTGCATTGTTGATCAGTTGTTAGAATTCAACCACCATTGTTTGGACTTAATGAACAATGGCATTTTTTGGCATTGGCAATGACAAAAACATTTTGTAACTATCTCAGACAATACACATCATACCGCGTACTAGTGCTAGTTAAACAAGTGATGTCAACAAATCAGCTATTCAGATAATTTAGGTAAGTAATTTATTTATTTATTTCATGAATTTAGCAGACAGTACTCATACTATTTATATTTCATAGTGGCAGCAAAAAGTCTAGCGCCAGCCTTGAAAGTCACACTTATGACTTACAAGGTATCATTATTAAAAAAATACATTGATAAGGAAAAGGTTAACTCTTGGGCATCAGCAAAAATCACAATAAAGAACAAATATTTAGAAATATTTCATGGCTCAGCACCTGTGGCTCAAGCGGCTAAGGCGCCAGCTAAGGTGGCAGGTTTGAATCCCCAGCCCGGGCCCGCCAAACAACAATGATGGCTGCAACCAAAAAATGGCCAGGCATTGTGGTGGGCGCCTGTGGTCCCAGCTACTTGGGAGGCTGAGGCAGGAGACCCGCTTGAGCCCAGGAATTGGAGGTTGCTGTGAGTGTGATGCCATGGCACTCTACCCAGGGGGATAGCTTGAGACTCCGTCTCAAAAAAAAAAAAAAAAAAAGAAATATTTCATCATTTTGAAACAAACCATGTTCCATACAATAATGCACTAAAAATTGTGAGATACGCGCTGTCCTTACCAAGAACTCATGCTGCAACTGAAAGCATTTTTTCTATGGTAAATAATGTGTGGACATCAGAAAAATCACAATTAAGTGTTGAGACTTTGAAAGCCATTTTATGTGTGAAATATATTTAACAAATTCTTGTGAAAAATTTCATGACCTTTTAAACAATGACAGCAATCTATTAAAAAAATTCACTGAAATGAGAAATATGCCAAAGAATAAAATAATACTATACATAATTTTTTTTTTTTTTTTTTTTTTGGCCAGGGCTGGGTTTAAACCCACCACCTTCAGCATATGGGGCCAGTGCCCTACTCCTTTGAGCTTCAGGCACCGCCCTATACATAATCTTTTTTAATGTATTATATTTGTAAATTGTACTTATGTTGCAATTAAAAAATATATGTTACAATACTATTTTTGCATTCTATGAAAATTTTTGTTGCCCCATATAGACCAAATTTTTAATTAAGGACACCCCCCACCTCCCCATCCCTCACCCCCACCCCCGTCAATGGTGGCAAGTTCACAGTATAATTAATGGGTCTGCCTGTCTCTTTAAGGGCTCAGGGCCAACAGTTTGGGCAGGCGGGCTAAGAAAGATGAGCTGCTTTGAAATTCTATCCCGAGCAGAGCCCTGGCTGATTCTCTGTTCCTGTGCTTCTGACCTCCCTGCTCACAGCTGGCAGCGACAGCTACTCTGGGAGCTCAGGGTCAGCATGACCATGGTGGAAGGATGAGCAGCTGCTTATTAAAGTCATTGGGCTGCTTGGGAGGCAGGCGAGTGACATAAAAGCAGTGTATGGAAATCCTCAAAACTCCACTGCTCAGATGACTTTACACTCCAAATCACTGCCCTGAGGGAGGCTCAGGGGTATTTCTTCTCCAGACATTCTAGCTCTTTGCTTTACCACTGATTTTTTTCCTCCCTCTTAGAAAGGAGGAAATAAGATACACATTTGTCACTCAGTTGATTTTAATTAAATTAAAAAACTGGCTTCTTTTAACATGCCATGCTTTTTCACACTTCTGTGCCCATACCTCTGCGGGTCTCACCCCTAAAAATGCTGCTTTTCCTCTGCCCACATGGTGAAATCAAGCCCTAAACCTCCAATCAGAGGCTAGCTCTTACATCACCCTCCCCAGTGCCACCTCCTTCCAGGCACCACCACTCTTTAAACTTAAGGTAGTTACTATACTTCACACGCTGAATGGTCATTGTTTTTTAAGGTCTCTTTTCTCCTGAAAGAGGGAGAGCTCTTAGGAATCCTTGATTACTAAGTGCTTGGCTCATAGTAGGCACTCAATAAATATTTGTTGAGTTGGAAACTTCTACTCAGCATATTTGACAATTTCTAATTTCTCAGGAATTCTTATTGAGAGTTAGGTTATAGCATTATAATAAAAATCTCTAAGAATTCATCACTTTACTAGTTCTAGGAGGTTACTGGCACCTCACTTGTAACTCAAGGGCAATAGGCATAATGCTAGTAAGTGCTAACCCAGCAGCAGCAAGGAAGAAGAATCAAAGCATCGTTTAGAAAACTAAGAATTATATTTCTTAGTTTAATGTTTGCATACTCCAGATTTACTTCTTGGCAACCCAGAGGAGATCCCTCGGTTCAACCAAAAATTCCTTGGAAGTTATCAGGCTTCATAGGAGGAATGTGGGAGTCATGGATCTAGTCCTGTATTTCTACTTCCTGTGCAAACCAGCTGGGACAGAGGATTAAGTTTGACAGACTTGGGTTCAAATCCTGACTCTGTCACTTTCTACCTTAAACTTGTCAGTTCTCCAAACCTCAGTTTCTCCCAGATATAGGAGGATAACATTTATTTTGAAGGGTTGTTGTGATGACTAATCCAGGTCTGGCACTTCATGGGTATTTAATAGGTGATAATTATAATTTGGAATACTGGGGTGGTGGGGTAAGGATTTGGTAGCATATTGCCATTTATTAACTGTTACCAGATCCAGATATATTCAAAGGGAAGTCAGCCTGGAATTCAAAAAAACTGCTTTTTATAGCTATTCTGTTAAATGGGTATAAAATAAATTCCTAATGATATTTGCAGTGTGACTTAATACAGGCTTTCGACGGGTTTTCCAGTTTTCACTGTTGGGATTTTTTCTGGTAATAGTCCCACATGTTGTCACTTTGATCTGTCCTCGTACTTCAGGAGCGTCTCCTCCCTGCTCACTCCTCCTCTGCTGTCCTTGCCTGCCTGTCATGCCCTGAAGTCTTATCTTGTCCCCTGGTAGGTATGTTAAGTGCTCTGCCTGCCTGCCTGTGTGCCTGGCCTGTTTCTTCTCACTGCCAGCACCTCTTAGATTCCATTCCAAACATGGTATCCATCTGGGGTCACCCTTTCTTCCGGTGCCAAGGGAGAACACATTCCAAATGGAACACAAGTGTTCCTCCCGTGCTGGGCTCTCCTCAGTCTGCCTGGGAAGAACGGAGAGCAGGATGTGGCCACTTCATCTCAGCGCTGCTCAAGTTTTCAGTCCCATAATCTGACCTCAGAACAATAGAGGTTTTCAGCTAAGAACCAAATTTGAAGACTGTCCTAAGAAACGTGGAGGAAGCTGGCCAGAGCTCTGCAGCGAGAGCCAGAGCCTTGCCAAAGGAAGAGAGAGAGAAAAGAAACGTTTTTGAACTCTCCATGAAGTGTACTATGTTGGGTTATTCATTCCCAAAGCCCCCAGAAGCATCCCTCCCAGGAAAAGTGGAGCTGGAAGTAAGAAGCCGGAGGTGAGAGGACACCCAGAAGGGCAGATTCATTCCTTTTCTACGTGTCCTATGTGGGGACAGTATTAGCACCCAGCAAGGCTTTGAGACGCCTCAAAGATGAGCGCCAACAGCAGCACAGCCGGCCGGCTCCTCTGGCAGGGGCCAGCATGCATTAGTTGGAAGTGGGATATGGAAGGGGCTTTCTACCACCTGGCCAACTGCATCTTGCTCCTGGGCTTCATGGGGGGCAGTGGGGTATATGGATGTTTCTACCTGTTTGGCTTCCTGGGCACAGGCTACCTGTGCTGTGTGCTGTGGGGCTGGTTCAATGCCTGTGGCCTGGACATTGTCATTTGGAGCGTCCTCCTGGCGGTGGCCTGCCTGTTGCAGCTGGCACACCTCGTCTACCGCCTTCGTGAGGACACCCTCACTGAAGAGTTCAACCTCCTGTACAAGACGCTGTGCCTGCCACTCCAGGTGCCCCTGCAGACATACAAGGACATTGTTCACTGCTGCGAGGAGCAGGTCCTGACTTTGGCCACTGAGCAGACCTATGCCGTGGAGGGTGAGACACCCATCAACCGCCTGTCCCTGCTACTCTCTGGCCGGTAAGCTACTCTGCCTGTTACCTGGAATTTCCATTCCCAGCCCACACGTCTCATTTCCGGATGTGTCCCTTTCCATTGTACATCCCCTTCCACTGACGGAAGGTTGTGGCAAGTCAAACCAAATAGATTTTTCTGAGAGTGGGTTTGCTTCCTTTTTCTTAGTATGTTCCAAGAGGAAACCAGATCACGGGGCATCTTCTCAGCTGGCAGCAATGATTGCATGTGCACTTGCTACTAAGGTGTGGGTTGAGTGTTTCTTGAACTCTGGCCTTACATGACCCCCTGCCCACACACATACAGTGTGTCATCCCTAAGGTAAAGCAGTATCTCCATAAAACTGAATGTTTCCATGAGATTAATTTGTTCCATATGCATTCAACATTCACTAAGCACCAACTGCACATGGGGTCTTAGCATCATAGCTCATGAAGAGTGTGTATCATCATAGCTCACAGCAACCTCAAACTCTTGGGCTCAAGCAATCCTCTTGCCTCAGCCTTCCAAGCAGCTGGGACTATAGGCACCCATCACTACACCCAGCTAGGTTTAGAGATGGGGTCTTATTCTTGTTCAGGCTGGCCTCGAACTCCTGAGCTCAGGCAATCCACCCACCTCGGCCTCCCAGAGTGCTAGGATTACAAACATGAGCCATTGTTTTGAATTTTAAACTGAGAAGTCCTGAGTTGAGTGAGCTGTGAGGGAGACATTTCTTTCATTTGTGAGTAAGCTGAGAGTGTAAACAGATGCAATTATTTGTAAACAACGGTGGGTGTAAATACAGATATATGACTATTGCCAAAATGTTTGCCACCTACAGTTTCATGCTTAAAATAAAGACAATGTAGGAAACTTGTTTATTTGTGAGATCCCTGGTGTTATTTGCCTCTCAGAGCTCCTCCGTTGAAAGGAGGGAATTGAGACCAGCAGAAGTTCCCCGTCCAGTGTATGGTGCTCATTTCCTGGAAGCGTGTTACAATTATTGTATGGTTTAGGGATCTAATATATGCAAAATTCACCACAAACTTATATAAGACCACTACCCTGGGAAGGGCAGGGGTGGGGGGCTTGCCCCTCAGTGTAACTTCTTTTCCTAGTATACAGAGCATCAAAAGCCTAAGCCAGAAATTAGATCATTTCGATTTTTTCTTCATGCTTTTTAAGTTTTGTATTGTGCTTGCTTCATCATCTTTCCTGTCTTAACTTTGCTAAGCTGCACACAGGGGAAGAAGAGGCTTCTAGTCTATGACTGGGCTTTAGTTTTAAAGGAGAATCACTATTACAGTGAGGTGATCAGACCCCTCAGAGTAGCAGACGAGAGCTCTGTGCCAGGGGTGGGGGGCTCTTATGTGGACCTTCCTGTCTCATGCACAGACCATTATCTGGAGCCCTCTGTTCCAACCCCAGAAAGCTATGTTGTTTTATTTTAATAAGGGCAATCAGTCCCTTTTAAGACTCAGAGTGATTTCTTCGAAGTCTATCACCCTCTTAAGCTGTGCTTACTGTTGGACAGTTTCTTACATATAATTCAAAACACAACCCCCTAAATGTACAGCCTCCTGAGCAGGTAACTGTCTAAGCTACAGGAGGACATTACCAGTCATCCAGGAGATCAAAAAGGAAGCAGAGACAAATGAGAAAGGGCACTGTTCAGGCAGGCTCGTTAGACTCTAACTCTCTTAAGGTGTTGTCCCTCCTGGGTGACTTGCCTGGGTAGCCAGATTCCTTGCCTAAGGAGATGATGGGAGGAGCCCATATATACAACAGCTTCATTCTCTCCTGTTGTCTTTTTCCATAGAGAAGCTTTTCATTGAGGTTTTGATCCCGTTTGTCCATTGGTTCATTCACTCCTTTGTTCATTTATTCCTTCCTTCCTTCTTCCTTTCTTCCACTCTCCTTTCCCCCTTCCACGAATATTTACTAAGAGCGCTAGGGACTAGGAATCCAGTGCGAAATATGAAGAACATTGAACTACACTCCTGGAGTTTGTAGTCTGTCAAGAAAGTCAGTAATTCCGCTGGGAGCAGTGGCTCACACCTGTAATCCCAGCCTTGGGAGGCCGAGGTGGGAGGATCACTTAAGCTCAGGAGTCTGAGACCAACCTTAGCAAGAATGACACCCTGGTCAGGCACAGTGGCTCATGCCTGTAATCCTAGCACTCTGGGAGGCCAAGGCATGTGGATTGCCTGAGCTCACATGTTCGAGACCAGCCTGAGCAAGACTGAGACTTGTCTCTAACAACAGCCGGACATGGTGGCAGGCATCTGTAGTCCCAGCTACTCGGGAGGCTGAGGCAAGAGAATCACTTGAGCCCAAGAGTTTGAGGTTGTTGTGAGCTATGACACCACGGCACTCTACCGAGGGTGACAAAGTGAGACTTGGTCTAAAAAAAAAAGTTAACGATTCATGTTTGCCATGGTGGTTCATAATGAATGTAGTATTCCCACAGAGAGGTGCAAAATGCAATGACAGCATGTAACTGGTGGGTCTGACACATCTGGGAAGGTCAAGGAAGACTTCCTGTTTAAGCTGAGACCTGAAGAGAAGAGGTCCAGCTAGAGCTAGAATATGTGAAGACCCTGATGTAGGAGAACACGGCGCTTCATTTTCTCTTGTATCCTTTCATTACTCAGGAAGTTCTGCCAGACTCTCTCCATATACTACTTGGTCTTATAGGAGCAAGGGCCTTTCTGCCATCAGAAGTTGTAGGCTGACTTCCTGTTTAGCTTGGTTTGAGCCCTACTTCTCCTCCTGTCTTCTGTATCTAGGTTGTCAGATTATGGTCAGTAGCTTATTAATTGGTGATGGCCTTTGGTAATTTGTGTACCCGCATTTATATGTGCATTTATGAAGAGCGAGACTTGGGAGCACTAATATCCCGTGGTCCAGACTTTAATCACATGGCCTCACAGGCAGCAAGGGAAGGAGGCAGATGTAGACCCAGCTGTGCAGCCACATGTCCAGTTAAAACTCTAGTTCCATGGAGGAAGAAAAAAGCAGATATTGGAGAACATGCTGCCACACTGGATTTATCGGATCTTAGTCTATTCCCATCCTCATCTGCTTCTCAATATCCTTTTCATGTTAAAAACTCAGCTCAAATATCATCTCTGAGATGTCTGCCACCCAAAGAAAACCCATCTCTCCCCTTCCACGATGCCCCTGTTCTATAATAGCACTTAGCACATTGACTTGCAGTCAGTTACTGAAGGGCTTGTGATTTCCACTAAATTGTAAAATCCTCAAAGACAAGGACCAGACTGTACCCATCTCTGCATGTTCAGACCTCCAGGAACACAGAAGGTGCTCAATGAATAGTTGTTCAGCCAATAAATCTCCAGAAGTAAGGGAAGCATAGCTCCATGCAAAGGGCCAAGTTGGACCTTGGAGATCCTTTCCATCATCCCCTTTGCCTGGTAGAGGCACTCCCTCTCCTGACAAAATTCACTTTAGAAAAGAGGTGGAAGGCTCGACGCCTGTGGCTCAAGTGGCTTAGGCGCCAGCCACATACACAAGGTGGTGGGTTCAAATCCAACCCAGGCCCACCAAACAACACTGACAGCTGCAACCAAAAAATAGCCGGGCGTTGTGGCGGGCGCCTGTGGTCCCAGCTACTTGGGAGGCGGAGGCAGGAGACTCGCTTGAGCCCAGGAGTTGGAGGTTGCTGTGAGCTGTGATGCCACGGCACTCTACCCAGGGGGACAGCTTAAGGCTTTGTCTAAAAAAAAAAAAGAAAAGAAAAGAAAAGAAGTGGAAGATGCTGCGTTTGGGGGGAAAACGATAAAGCCCTTCCTGGATTCTAATCTTTTTCCAGATGCAGCGTCATATCTGAAATACCCTCACTGTCCCTAGGCATAGTCAGTGCTGCGCCATCAATTCTAACAAGTTCTCACAGCTTGCAACCCCACCACCCCGCAGGGGGATTACATTTTATTTAATTTTTATAACAACCTGGATGGAACTGGAGACCATTCTTCTTTTAAGCGAAGTTTTGCAAGAATGGAAAATCAAACACTACATGTACTCACTATTAAATTGGAACTAATTGATCAATACCCATGCCCACATTTGGTAGTAGAACAGAAAGCAAGTGGGTGGGAGGGGACAGGAGGGGACGGGTAAAGTCACGCCAAACGTGCACAGTGCACACTATCCAGGAGAGGGGCATGATACAACATTGACTCAAACTGTACAAAAGCAATTCATGTGACCCAAACATTTGTACTCCCATAATATTCTAAAATTTTTAAAAATTAAAATGTAAATTTACTTATTTATTTATTTACTTTTGAGATAGAGCCTCAAGCTGTTGCCCTCCGTAGAGCGCTGTGGCATTACAACTCACAGCAACCTCAACCTCTTGGGCTTAAGCAATTCTCTGGCCTCAGCCTCCCAAGTAGCTGGGACTATAAGCACCTGCCGCAATGCCTGGCTATTTTTTTTGCTGCAGTTGTCATTGTTGTTTAGCAGGGCCAGACAGGTTCAAACCCGCCAGCCTCGGTGTATGTGGCCATCGCCTTACCCACTGAGCCACAGACATCGCCTCAAATGTAAATTTAAATAGCCTTATGTGGCTAGTGAACAGCAGAGCTCTAGAGCAGTGGTTTCTACCCTGACTGTATATCAGAATCACTTGGGAGATTTAAAAACTAATAATATCCAGATCCTACCTATAGACTCTTGTTTAATTATTCTGGGGTAGGGCCCAAGTCTAGGGGGGTGTGTGTGTGTGTGTTTAAGCCTCCCTGGGGCTTCTACTCAGAAGCCTGGAATTGAGAACCACTGGTAAGGAAAAGGAGGAGGAAATGACGGCTCAGGAAGTCTCCATGGGTTCACTTTCTAAACTGCTTCCAAGCAGTAATAAGGATACTCTTGCTTTGGGTTTTTCCATGCTTTAAGCAAGGTATTTCTTTCTTTCTTTCTTTCTTTCTTTTTTTTTTTTTTTTTTTGAGACAGAGTCTGACTATGTTGCTGTGAGCTGTGATGTCACAGCACTCTACTGAGGGCAACAAAGTGAGACTCTATCTCAAAAAACAAAACCCCAAAATACTCTTGGGCTCAAGTAATCCTCTTGCCTCAGCCTCCCAAGTAGTGGGGACTATAGGCAACTGCCACAATACCCAGATATTTTTTTAGAGATGAGGTCTTACTCTGCTCCAGCTGGTCTCGAACACCTGAGCTCAGGCAATCTACCCGCCTTGGCTTCCCAAGGTGTTAGAATTACAGGAGAGCCACCATGCCAGGCCCCTGGACAAGGTATTTCTGCTGGAAGATTCCTGTTAGTCAGCAACATGTAACTTCAGCGCAGGGCATTGGGGCAGCCATTTCCCTTTCCCACACGGTATCTTCTCTCCCTTTGCCAGGGTTCGTGTGAGCCAGGATGGGCAGTTTCTGCACTACATCTTTCCATACCAGTTCATGGACTCTCCCGAGTGGGAATCGCTGCACCCCTCTGAAGAGGGGGTGTTCCAGGTAACAGTGAGCCCCATGGCAGCAGTGCCTCACCCCACCCCACTGCAACCCCCCATGTCCATACCTCCATCTTTCCTCTCTCACGTCTGTCCTCCGCATGACTGCCAGTCTGATGCTAGAGGAGGGAGCCCTCCTCTTTGGCAAGAGTGCCCAGACCCTGGCACAGGGAGGGTATGATAAGGAGGTGCTGACCCCTGATAGATGGACCATACCTAGAACCTTCCCGAAGACCCTAGTGACCACCCAATAAAAACCCACACTCCTCAGTGGGTAACTTGAACCCTTCGGTGATCTCCAGCCCTTCCTTCCTCCTTCTCCTTTTTTGCCTATACTGGCTATGCTGGACTACTAGCACTTCCCGACACACACCACATGGTTTTGCAACTCTGTGCTTTGGTCCCTACTATCTGAAATGCATTTCCCTTCTAGCTGTGATCATGGCACCTCATTGCCTCTGGGAAGCTTGCCCAGCTCAACCTCACCAACTTCTACTCACTGCTTAGCATTCTTGCCTGTGTCTTTTCTGTTCCTTTTACTTATGTTGACTGGTGCACATACTGCTCTCTGTTCTAATGATCTGTTTTCCTTTCTCCATTCTGCACAGTGAATCGTGGAAGTAAAAATCTGGGCTTTTCCCTCTCTATCCCTAGGCTCCAAAGAACAGTACCTGGAACACAGTAGGTTCAATGCAGATTTGCTGAACTGGCTTGCCATTCGGCAGCTGGTGTCTCAGAGCACTTTATAGAGCATTCACATATGTGTCCAAGGTGGGAGCCTGGCTCCTTGGTCCTCACTCTCTTTCCTGCCAATGCTTCAGACTTTGATTACTTTCTTTGTAGTTCTCATTTATTGAACGGCTAGCATGTGGTAGGCCATTACATTATCATATTGCCTCACTGATTCTCACAACTCTATGGGTTGGATATTATTATTACCCCATTTAACAGATGAGGAAACTAAGGCTCCAAAACATCAAGTAATTTGCCTGAACTCTTCAGTTAAAAAGTGGAAAACTGGGCCTCGCCTGTGGCTCAGTGGATAGGGCACTGGCCCCATATACTAAGGGTGACAGGTTCAAACCCAGCCCCAGACAAACTGCAACAAGAACAAAAAATAGCCAGGCATTGTGGCAGGAGCCTGGCTACTCGGGAGTAGCTGAGGCAAAAGAATCGCCTAAGCCCAGGAGTTGGAGGTTGCCATGAGCTGTGTGACACCACGGCACTCTACCGAGGACGATTGACTCTGTCTCTACAAAAAAAAACAAGAAGAAAGAAAGTGGAAAACTGGGCTGGTGCGGTGGCTCACGCCTGTAATCCTAGCACTTTGGGAGGAAGAGCCAGACGAATCATCTGAGCTCAGGAGTTCAAGACCAGCCTGAGCAAAAGCAAGACCCTGTTTCTACTAAAAATAGGAAAAAAAAAAGATAGCCAGGGGATGGTACCTGAAGTCTCAACTACTCAGGAGGCTGAGGCAAGGGGACTGTACATACCCAGGATCTGTGGTTACTGTGAGCTCGGCTGATGCCACAGTACTCTACCCAGAGCAACAGAGTAAGACTCTGTCAAAAAAAAAAAAAAGAAAGAAAGAAAGTGGAAAACCAAGTTGCCTGGATCTACTATTTCTAGCCCTCTCTGTCTCTCTCTCTCTTTTTTTTTTTTTTAAACAAAATTTCACTCTATTGCCCAGGCTATAGTGCCATGGAGACAGCCTAGCTCATGGCAACCTCAAACTCCTGGGTTGAAATGATCCTCCTGTCTCAGCCTCCCAAGTATCTTGGACTAGAAACACCCACCACAACACCTGGCTAGTTGTTTTCTATTTTTAGTAGAGATGGGGTCTCAGTCTTGTTTAGGCTGATCTTGCACTCCTGAGCTCAAGCCATCCTCCAGCCTCAGCTTCCCAGAGTTCATGAGCCACCATGCCCAGCCTCTATTTCTCATTAAAATGGGAGGGCTACCAGGATAGTAGAGTTTACCTTCATACACACACACTCTCTCTCTCTCTCTCTGCATGTCTTTCTGTCTGTCTCTCCGTCTCTCTCACTCACCCTTTTAGGGACTCCCCATCCAGGTAGTCTCCTAGACCTGGGTTCTATGTGTCTCCTACTACTTCTGCCAGGGAGTCTCTTCAGCCAACATATGAGCCAATCCCAGAACGGATACATGCCAGGCAGTGCCACTTGGCTGCACCTCCTTCCGGCTGTGCCCTCCCACTGGCTGTGTGATGACAGAGCCTGAGAGGCAGTCCTGATCCTGCTAGTAGGGTCACCAGCTGCAGACCCCTCCAGACAATGTTCCTAAGCCAACCGACCATGCACACTCTCTAACTAGCCCAGAAATCTCCTTTAGGAACTCCCTCAGGCCCAGGAAGCCCTCCAGAAGGGCTGAGTCAGGTCCTGAGCCAGCTGGACCAGGGCTCTATTTCTGACACTGACATGGGGGAACAGGTGGTAAGTAAGCCGGGTGTCCTCCCTTAAGTTATGCTGAAAAGGAAGGGCTGTAACCCCAGATGGCCTCCCAGCCTGGAATGTAGGTTTGTTCATATTCCTCTCATTTATATTTTTAGTGTGCACCTCCTTTCAGAGCAATAAGATCCACACATTTGCTATTGGTGTGTAAAGTCTCATTTCCTCTTTGCAAATGTCAAGTGTTGTCCCGAGTTATAGTTCATCCTGTCCTTGCCTTTTGCAATTATATCCTCTTTGTTGACTGAGTTACCCAGAGTGACTGCCTAAATCATAATTCACATTATGCTTAACACAAACCAATCAAATCTCATCACATCTCTCAACAATTCAATTAAATCAGAATGTATTGACTGTTGAGCACTGTGACACTCACCTTAATTACCAAGAAGACAGCACAGGAGAAATCATCATTATGTCTCCAATTTTCATCCTGGATCTAAATGCTACTTACATAGCATTTAATCCGTCCAACCAAATTTTGAGGTATTGGAGAAAAACTAAGTACTTGATAAGACTTTATAACAGGGTTCGGCACCTGTGGCTCAAATGGCTAAGGTGCCAGCCACATTGAGGTGGCTGGGTTCAAATCCAACCTGGGCCCACCAAAACAACAATGACAGCTGCAACCAAAAAATAGCCAGGCATTGTGGCAGGTGCCTGTGGTCCCAGCTATTTGGGAGGCTGAGGCAGGAGACTTGCTTGAGCCCAGGAGTTGGAGGTTGCTGTGAGCTCTGATGCCACGGCACTCTACCCAGGAGGATAGCTTGAGGCTCTGTCTCAAAAAAAAAAAAAAGACTTTATAACAGATGTGCATATGTATGTGTGTGTATATGTGTGTGTGTGTGTGTGTATTTGAGCCAATCAAAAAGCAGATTCCCTGAGTATCTTTGGGGAAGGATTCTATACAGGCCACAAAATTGACATTAGGTTGTTTTGAAATATACAAGATTCGTAGTCTTCACTTGATCCATTCATTTCAGTAATATTTATGGAGCACTTATTACATACCAGGCATTCTTAAAGGTACTTGTAATGTATCAGTGAAAAGAGCAGATAAAGGTCCCTGTCCTCATGTAATTACAACCTGGTGCAGGAGATTGCACTAGGAGTTCATAGCATTATGCAGTATGTTAGAGGATAATAACTGCTAGTTAAAAAAACAACAACAGAAAGTAGCATAAAGGAGATATGGTTGCAATTTTAAATAGGGTGGTCATGAAAGTCCTTGTTGAGCAGGTGACATTTAAGCAAAATCCTAAGAGAAGCAACAGTATAAGCTTTGTGAATAGTAGGGGAAAGTTTATCAGACAAAGAGCCAGTGCAAAGGCCCTGAGGTGGGGTAGAGTGCTTGAGGTACAGAAAGGAGGACAGAGGGCCTGGAATAGAGAGGGGAATGGGAGAAACTAGCAGAACAGAAAGTTGGAGAGGTAAGTAGGGCCAGAGCATATGTTGTCTAGACAGAGCCAAAAGTATTTCCTTTTGGAAAATTTGGAAAGGATGGGTTGGTTGTAGAATGTGAGAGAAAGAAAGGATCGAGGAAGACTCTAAGGCTTTTGACCTAAGCAACTGGAAGGATGATGATGACATCAACTGGAATAAGTTGGGCTGCAGGTAGAGCTGGGGAATAGGAGTTCAGTTTGGGATATGTTAGGTCTGTGTCATCTATGGACATTCAAATGGAGATGCTGCATAGGCAGTTGGATATTTGAGGCTGGAATTCAGGATTAAGGTCTGGGTTTGGGACATAAATTTGAGAGTTGGTTGCATACAGATGATATTTAAAGGCATTGGATTGGAGAAGATCACTGATTGAGAGTAGACAGAGAAGGGCGTTCAAGAATGGAGCTCTGGCATACTGTAAAGAAGTAAGAAAGAGGAGCCAGCAAAGGAATCTGAAAAGGAACAATCAGGAGATCGCACCAGGAGTTCATAGCATCCTGGGAACCAAGTGAAGAAAGTATATCAAAGAAGAGGGTATAACTGATAGTGGAGGATGCCATGAAAACTGACTGCCAGGCTCAACAACTTAGAGGTCACTGGTGACCTTGAGAGGAGCAGTGTTTAGGGACTACCAGAGGCAAAGCCTTATAATAATCAGAAGAAAGGAATCAGAGATAGTTAAGTATAGACCTTTTGTGTGTGTGTGTAGCTTTGCTAAAAGGGAGAGCAAATTAATGGAGTGGCACCTGGCAAGGAAAGTGAGATGAAGAAAAAGAATTATTATTTTTAAATTTTATTCTATTTTAAGATGGAAGAATTTTTTTTTTTTTTTTTTGAGACAGACTCTCACTCATTTGCCCTGGGGTTGAGTGCGGTGGCGTCATAGCTCACTGCAACCTCAAACTCTTGGGCTCAAGTGATTCTCTTGCCTCAGCCTCCCAAGTAGCTGGGACTATAGGCATCCCAAACAATGCTTGGCTATGTTTTAGACATAGGAGTCTGGCTCTTGCTCAGGCTGGTCTTGAATTCCTGAGCTCAAGTAATCTGCCTGCCTTGGCCTCTCAGAGTGCTAGGAGTATAGGCATGAGCCATCGCACCTGGCAAGATGGAATAATTAACAGCATATTCATAAGAATGCCCACCAATTATGTTTGCCTTTAAGAACACTGTGGCTTGGTGTCTGTAGCTCAAGTGGCTAGGGTGCCAGCCACATACACCAGAGCTGGCAGGTTCGAATCCAGCCCAGGCCTACCAAAACAACAATGACAACTACACCCAAAAAATAGCTGGGCATTATGATGGGCATCTGTAGACCCAGTTACTTGACAGGCTGAGGCAAGAGAATCATTTAAGCCCAAGAGTTTGAGGTTGCTGTGAGCTGTGATGCCATGGGTCTACCTGAGGCAACAGCTTGAGACTCTGTCTCAAAAAAAAAAGAACATTGTATCTAGATCAGCCCTTGTTCGACATACCAGCCTCAAGTTTGGCACTCTAATTCCTTGTTTGGGAATTATTACTAAGTACATCTAAAGTACAGACTATGGCAGATTGTGACAGGTACATGCTGAACTATAATAATAGACAGATTGTATTATTTTCAGAATTCTTTCTCATGAGCAATATGCTTAGGTAAGTAAATTATCTGATGTCACACAGGTGCTAAAGAGGTAAAGCTGAAACTTAAAACCAGCTTCTGCCCTTGGTAATGTAATTTAGGGTCCTGATTGCAGAGTTAAAAGAGTAAGGGGGAAAAGCTGAGAGGAGGAAATGAATAAAGGAATTGGAGTGAGGAGGAAGGAAGAGGAGAGGAGGGTCGTGGGAGATCTGGTAGGTAATGCAGGAATTAAAAGTATTATATATAATCTCTAACAAAAACTGTTTGGAAACTCAACCCTGCCTATCATTTGACAATCCATATAAAGTCCTTAACACAAGGCCTGGCACACAGTCACCTCTCAATAAGTGTCAGCTGCTGTCATCATCCTCACCATCACCATTTCCATTGTCTCCATCCACAAATATATACCATGAGCCTTGCCAAGCCAAAATATTATTGTCAATCAGATTATAAAAAACTGTGTGACTCTGCACTCTTTTCTTGTACTGTCTTGAGCATGTTTCCATTTTAACCCTAGCTTTACCATTCATCATTAATTTAACAAGGATTTATTAAGCACCTACTGCATACAGGTACACATTATTATTTATTTCCTCTGCAAGTATAATTTAGTTTTGTATCTTGAACACATAGAGAGTGCTCAGAAATTCCTAGATAAATAGGGCTGGGTAGGGTGGTTCATGCCTGTAATCCTAGCATTCTGGCAGGCCAAGGCAGGAGGATTGCTTGAGCTCAGGAGTTCAAGACCAGCCTGAGTAAGAGTGAGACCTCCGTCTCTACTAAAAATAGAAAAGCCAGCCAGACATTGTGGCAGGTGCCTGTAGTCCCAGCTACTCGGGAGGCTGGGATAGGAAGATCACTTGACACCAGGAGTTTGAGGTTACTGTGAGCTAGATTGATGCCATGGCACTATAGCCTGGACAACAGGAAAAAAATTCCTAGATGAACAAGTGGAGCATAGGTATCCTTTGACTTTCTGCTCTTAAGAGTTTGTCTCCCTCTGTGCATTTTTCTGACTTCAGCCATCAGATCTTTTCTTGTAGTGGCTAAGAGCAACCTGTGGACCTGAATCCCAGTCAATGCTCGGCCCAAGTGTGCAGCTTGGCCTCCCTAACCAGAAGCTTTTTCTTTTTTTTTTTTATTTTTTTTTTATTTATTTTTTTATTTTTTGAGACAGAGCCTCAAGCTTTCCCCGTGGGTAGAGTGCCATGGCATTACAGCTCACAGCAACCTCCAACTCCTGGGCTCAAGCGAGTCTCTTGCCTCTGCCTCCCAAGTAGCTGGGACCACAGGCGCCCGCCACAACGCCTGGCTATTTTTTGGTTGCAGCCATCATTGTTGTTTGGCGGGTCCGGGCTGGGGATTCGAACCTGCCACCTTAGGTGTACGTGGCTGGCGCCTTAGCCTGTTGAGCTATAGGCGCCGAGCCACCAGAAGCTTTTTCTATAACGGAACTTCTTTCCAGCTCTTTTTGTGTCCCTACCCCCAATATATTATCCTTCTTCATTCTTAAGAAGAATAGTCATCAGCATTTCCCCCTTTCTTCAGAGCACCAGGAGGCCCCTTCTTTCTCTCTCAAAATCTGACTCAGAACCTTCTGCAGCCAGCAGTGGTGTCAGCCACGAAATCATAAAATTAGAGTTGAGGAAACGAGATGTGGAAACTGAGGCTCCAGGAAGTGACAGCTGAGTGAGTAAATGGCTGCTCCCAGGACTCCTGACATTTGATACCCTAGTATCAGGGCACACAAGTAAAAGTCATTCACTAGACAGGGCAAGGGCACAGATTGTTAGTCCCACATAGCTTCGATAAAAACGCAGTCATTTGCAGGTAATTTTGTTTCCCTGTGCTCAGCACAGACAGATTTTCTAGTTTAAACCTTGATTCTCTGCTCATGACTCCTCCCAGGTTACCCTGACTGCTGAGACCTCATGTAGTTACATTTCCTGGCCCCGGAAAAGTCTCCACCTTCTTCTGACCAAAGAGCGATACATCTCCTGCCTCTTCTCGGCTCTGCTGGGCTACGACATCTCAGAGAAGCTCTATACCCTCAATGACAAGCTCTTCGCTAAGTTTGGGCTGCGCTTTGACATCCGCCTCCCCAGCCTATACCGCATCCTGGGTCCCACTGCCTCAGATGTAGGACCTGAGTCAGAGAAGGATGACGAGGAAACCCATGAACCAGCCACAGGCCCTCCTCGGGCCAGCTCCACATCTGACCAGCAAACGCCACCCCGTTCTCCCCCTCCAGCAGCCACCAACCTTCCTGCACCTCCCTCCCGGGCCAGGATGTCCAGGCCCGACAGCGGCTTCCTGGGTGAGGACTCCACCAGTCTGGCGCTGGAGGATTTTGAGGAGGTGTCGGGATCAGAATCGTTTATGGATTATAGGAGTGATGGGGAGTACATGAGGTGAGGGGAGAACTAACACAGGCACAGTCACCAGCCCAGGATTCTGTGTAAGTACTCAGAAGGAAGCTGCCACACACTCCTGCCAGTAGCTCGCCTGGACTCAGCTTGTTAGGGCAAACGACTGTCCTAGGGAGCATTCCTCTGAGAGGACGCACAGAAAGTGGCATTAACACAACTCTGCAGTTAGCAACTCACTCTGGGTGCATGAAAGGCATGAAGAATTTGTAAAACTCATTGATTATTAACTATCGTTGCATTTTGGAAAGTGGGTTGATTGACATTTTGAGCAGGCAGGTCGGTGGCTGCTAAATGGTTTTGCAAGTTTACACTAATAGCTAAGGCCCCAACTGGAGCCAAAGAGGAATTTATTTGTGGCATGCCTTTTAAAGGAAAAAGAATGCTGGTGGGTTTTATTTCCTACTGATTGTCTTCTCAGCATAGAGTCAGTTCTAGAAAGCAATTATTATTTAGCCTGGCCTGGACAGGTATCTCTGTTCAAATAGCATATTTTAAAAAGGCTTGTGATTACAGGCTAATAGCTCTAGGAGGAAAATGTCCCCATCTTGCTTTTCTCTTGCCAGTTGGAGAATGTGTTTGTTAATGACTCCAGGTCTCTATCCAGAGAACTAGACACCACTCTGATTAAATATTACTGTGATCAGACACATAGATGGCAGCTTGGCTTTCCCCAGAAACCCTGCATGTGGGAGGTAGGATGGGTATGAATCTGCAGGGCCTGAAGTGGTGCAGGATTTCCCTTGCAGGAGTGTAGATGGAAAATGCCATACTCAGTAGTTCTGGGAAATGGCTTTCATGTTCCCCTGGCTGCTCTCAATGCTGTGACATTTTCCTCTGGAAGTTCACCCAGCCATGATGGAGGCCTGGCTTTTCCTGAGGAAAATCCCACCTCATTTGGAAGCCTTTCTAGGTAAGAGGGGCCCAAAGAAACACACCATTCCTTGGGAAGCACCAAAGAATTTCCTGAGAAGCTAACTCAGTGAGGAAGGCCTCCAGGGTGCCCAAAGTGAAGGAGTAGATGTTTGTGTATTTTGAAAAACAATTTATATAAATGAGGAACCGGGCAAGAGAAGTGAGTGATAAAGGGTTAGAGAAGTGGTCTTATAGAAAGGGATGTGTAATCTCCTATGGATCTAACCCCAAGACCCCTTTGTTGGCTTCCTCCATTTGCACCAGCCGCTCTCATGGCCCCTTTCCCGTCGTGCTGCTGTTGCCTTCCTGCTTGTTCATCGTCTCGTCTCCGCACTTGGGCTGTGGCCGTGGGCCCTGTCTCTGTGCGGCGTGCCCGCCCGCAGAGCACTCCTCAGCTCACAGCAGATCTGGTCTCTTGTGTTTTCTTTCTGGTTTCATTCTCTTTCCCAAGTTGCATTTGTCTCTTCTTTCTTCTCTCTTTCTGACTTCTGTTTGGCCCTTGGCTGTCTCCGTTTGCTGCTCTTCAGTGTCCCTTTTCTTCTTCACAGCATTGAGAGAGCAGCTGGGGGACCATGAAAGCAATTTCCCAGAACTACTGACTAGGGCATTTTCCTTAAACGCTCCTGCGAGGGAAATCCTGCATGCGCTTTAGGTCCTGCGGATTCTCAGTTCATTTCTCCCTCTCTGTCCCCTGCGTCTGTTTCTATATTATGTCCTCCCATTGCCTCCTTTTTCTTTTCCCCACTTTCCTCCTTTGCTGTATCTCTTCATCTTCAACCACGCTGTACCCTCATCTTATTAGCTTTTCATCCTAACTCTTCCAAGATCAGTATGTTCCCCCTCAGTGGAAGGTGTGAAAACTCTAGGAATGTTTTCCCAACATTAGGTGGCAGGCTGCTTGGTAAATAAGAGACCAGGAGTGGGAGCCCAGTGTCCTGGCCCCTATGTCTGGCTCTATTACTAATCAAATATGTAACTTTTTGCAAACCGTACAATGTCACTGACCTTGCTTTCTCCTTTTGAGTTTGTTGGACCAGCTGTCCCTAAAAGCCTTCTTGAACTGATGTGAGAAGGGAAAAGAGGAGTTTTTCAGGGGAGGAAAAGAGAAGCATTTAGTCAGCAGTGCAGTGGACACAGCTCCGGGACATCTCAGTGTTTTTAGCAAGAAATTTCTGCTGTTTTCACTATGATTTCTCTGGTGACTTGGCACTGTCCTCCCTCATGGACAAGCTGGTGGGTCCAACTTGACTAGAGGTTCACCCCCATTTGTGACTATAAAGAACCTGTCACCTACCATGTGATTACAGTGTGGACATTCTGTGCAAAAGGAGGTCACAGCTCAGCCTCCAAGTAATACCATCCAATGAAATGCCTCTTTCCAAACTCAGCCTTTCCTGAAACTCAAAATGAGAAAACTGCTAATATAACTCACATTCTAAAATACCAGCATTTATAAAGACAGTAGATTTTTAATGTTTGTTAAAGTCACAGAGAGAAAGAAACAATGTATTATTTATTTTTCAAACCATAGAATTTTCAGAACAACTTAAAAACATGAATGGACTGGCTAAATTTTGGATGGTTTCAATTTAGTTTGTGATAATGGAAAGATTCAATGTTAACACTTTTTTTGGAATAGTGTTTTTAGATATTTGGTTTAACTTATTTACCAACAAACTTGTAAGGTCATTACAGTGTGATGAATGACCATCTTCCCTTATGACTGGTGGCAATTTACTATCATTTCCTTCATATAGTAGCCCACAATTCATCATCTATTTCCTGGCTCTTTAGTTACTGAAATTTTAATCTCATTGCTCTTTATCACAGTACAGCGCTTACATAAGAGGCATGAAGTTGGCTGCACTCTGGATCATTAGGAATGACATAGCCTTGTCACACTGACACCAGAGCTTGTCTCTCTCACCAGTCCAATTTAAGACCAACTAAAAATAGAGCTCTTTCTGGAGCTCTTTTCTGAAGAGAGTACATTTTTTAGCCCAGTGGTGCCCAGAATTGAACTGAAAATGGGTGCTGCTGCTTTTAACAGACAAGGCAGTGCCTTGGGGTCCTGAATTCATGCTGGGTCTTCCCACCAGACCTCACATTATGTTGCCTTCACTAGAAATTTTCTATTTAATTCTATGAGCACTTTCCACAGTGTTCCATTCTGTGTCTTATGAACAGAAGATTCTCAGTGGATGAGGAGCTTGTCTTTTAGAAATGCATCTTTGAGGCGATCTATTGGGTTAAATCATGAGTCCATTATCACAGACTGAATTGAAAGCTATCTGAAATTTGGCCAATTTTAATTTTTTTTCCTCTTTGTTCTGAAAACTCTGTGATTTGGAAAGTACAAACTATATGTTGTTTCTTTTCTCTCTATTATTTAAATAAATGGATAATAAAGAGATTACAATATGGAGGCCACTTGTGGTCAGGGAAGAATCCCAGGACCAGGACACAGTACCAAGGGCCAGAGAGACAATTCAGCAAGCATTTACTGGCCATCTAGTCCATAGTTCGGCCACTGAGCTAGATAATCCCATGATAAATAGCTGAAAGAATCAAAGCTGTCTAATCTGCAAGAAAAGGGAAAATGTATTATCTTCAAATTTTAAAAAGAACAGGAATGAGAATTTGACTTAATTTGGTGTGGTTCTTGTGGGTCGAAATTGAATAAAGGCTAAAAGTTATAAAGTGAAGGGTTTCAGCTTCATACACATATTAATATTGGATTACTCATGGGGTCCTAAGTTCCTCATCATTGAAAGAATTCAAGCAGGGAGCAGAAGAAATCTCAGAAATTTTACAAGGTGATTTAGGCTCTGGGGAAAGTTTGCCCGGTATTATTCTTTTTAAGGTACCTTTTGACTCTGTGACTCTGTGTTTCTAAGATCTGGACTCTAGTACAGCCACTTAACTATCATTAAGAACAGGTTCCTCAGTCCAGGCTTGGTGGCTCACTCCTGGGACCCTAGCCCTCTGGAGAGCCAAGGTGGAAGATTGCTTGAGCTCAGGAGTTCAAGACCAGCCTGAGCAAGAACAAGGCCCCCTTCTTACTAAAAATAGAAAAATAAGCCAGGTATTGTGGCAAGTGCCTGTAGTCCTAGCTATTCAGGAGGTTGAGGCAGGAGAATTGCTTGAACCCAGGAGTTTGAGGTTGCTGTGAGCTAGGCTGAGGCCATGGTACTCTAGTCAAAATGACAGAGGGAGACTCTGTCTCAAAAAAACCTGATTCCTTATCTGCAGAACAGAACTGCTATGCCTCTGTCTACCTTACCAAGTTGTTGTGAGGAGTAATTGAAATAAAATTTGTAAAACACTAGTTAAATGTAACATGTTTAAAGGGTGTTATATGGACAGTCATTTAGCAATCTCTCCCACCCCCAAGACAGATGCTTTTTCCTTTTATTTCCCCGTCCCCCAGCCCGTCTCCCCTTACCTGTTCAGGAGGAGACAGTACAATGGCACCATAATCAGGCGCTTGCCCTCAAAAGTGGATATAGGTGCTTTGGTAGCTCTAAGTGCTGGTAAATAGCACTGTTCTCACAGAACCCTCGGAAAGATTCCTAGGGGCAGAACACGTGCTCTTGAAAGTGGCATGGCCAGAGGTGAGGGGTCTCTGGGTGATGGTGCGACCTCCACCTGCCGTGGGTTGTGTGTGTCAGGTAGGTTAGAGACACAGTTCCCTCGGCCCTCTGACCCCTGCTGTTCCCAGGTTATTCTTCTTGTTCTGTTTCTCAGGCCTCATTTTCCTTCCCATCATTTTGTAAAAATAAAAGTCAAGAGTCTCACAAAACTTGTTTTCAATATAGGGATTTGATTTTTTTTTTTTTTAAACTCTGCAGAGTTAGATAAGAAGTTTTCTAGATGGTTCACAGGAAGCAACACAAGCTGTCTTGGTCTCCACACCTACAAAGTCAAAGGACCGGACTAGATAACTTCAAAGCTGACTCACCCTAATAGTCTAGAATGAAATGATCCAAAGGGATGAAGGCGCCATTGCGCCAGCATTATACTGTACACAGTTAAACACTGGGAACTGCGGGGGAGGGGGAGGGGAGAGAAGAT